AGAGGCACGGGAAGGATGGGTGACCTATACGGTGGCTCTAGAGGACTGACGGGTAAGTGAGTGACCGACAATCGCACGACACAGCAGCTACCTGACCTGACCTGACCTGACCCAGTGTGGTGGGACCCATTGTGTAGTGAGTACAGACCAGAGCCCGTCTCCGTGTGGAAAGTGGCCAGAGGCGCCCTAGTGGCACTGACTGTGCAAGAGGCAACAGGCTCGTCCGATGGGAAAGTAGTGACTATACCTATGTCGTGGAGGTGACTGACACCCACCAGGTTCTTGGAGAACGCGGGGGTGTAGTAACCTGTGAGAACCCCAGAGGGAGCCGCCGGACACAGGAGAGTGGTGGTGCTGTGGGCAACTATAGGTCCCACGGAGGGGTCAGCCAAGGCGACAGTGACTGGAGTGCGCAGTGGCGTGAGGTCAGTACAGTCCCGAAAGAAACAGCTGGATGCTCCAGAGTCTAGGGTGAAGGAAAGCGGTGCAATCTGTGAGGTTGCACTCGAGCCAGTGACAAAGGCTGGTGCTGGACTAGTGGTAGCTGCAGCCCCCACACAAAGACCCTCAGAGGCTCTTGGACTGGAAACTACCCACGCACTAGGGCTGGAAACACAGGTATGTACTCGTACAGCCAGGAAACGTCCTAGACTAGGTAGGTGAGACTCAACTGGTGTAGCAATGCGCTGGCGAAGACATGAGGGCCAGTGCGGTGTAATAGCATGAGAACCAAAACGCTCACGGTGGAGGTCGCCGAGGCGACGGTAGCAGCGGGACGCACAGTGGTCAGGACTCCAGCAGGTAGTGCTAGCAACAGGGCATGTCAGGGCCCGGTACCCGCAGGGGCCGTCATCTCGCCCACTGCTAGCTGAGCCAGTGATGGGGGCGCCACATTAGGACTCGCAGGTCTCCACTGCCGGGAGTGCTGCGACTGGTTTTGCTGTTGTAGATCCCTAGTACACGCCATGTGAGGAGCTAGAAACTAGGGGTCGTTCTGGCAGGTGGGCCTAAACTGCTGCTGGTGCTGCTGGCGGCTTCCTAAGTTGCAGCTGGTTCTGCTGGGGGGCAGCCTATGCTGCTGCTGGTTCTGCTGGGGGCAGCCTATGCTACTGCTGGTTCTGCTGGGGGCAGCCTACGCTGCTACTGGTTCCCCTGGGGGTAGCCAATGATGCTGCTGGTTCTGCTGGGGCAGCCTAAACTGCTGCTGGTGTGCTGGGGGCAGCCTATGCTGCTGCTGGTTCTGCTGGGGACAGCCTAAGCTGCTGCTGGTGCGTTGGGGACAGCCTATGCTGCTGCTGGTTCTGCCGGGGGCAGCCTACGCTAGCACGTGTGGAGTGCGGTTCTGTGCGATTCCAGGGGGGCTAGCACGGGTGGAGTGCGGTTCTATGCGGTTCTGCGTATACGGGTGGTAGACTAGGGTTTCCAGCTGTGGCAAGCTGGTGGGGCTGAGGCTAACTTGTGGGGCGGCGGGTGAGGCAGTTCGTGGGGCAGCGGGTGTGAGGTGGGACGGCGGGTTTCAACTCGTGGGGCGGCGGCTTTCAGGTGTGGTGGCGGGTTTCAGCTTCAGGGGCGGCGGGTGACGGGTGGGGCAGTGGCTAACAGATGGGGCGGAGGGTAAGGCAGCGGTTAACGGTTGGGGCAGCAGTTAAGGCGGCGGGTAACGGGTGGGGCGACGAGTTGCACGTGCGCGCGACTGTTGCTGTGCGTGCGTGCGACTAACGACGGGACCGCGGGGCCCACTATCAAAAGGGCCGCGGGGCCCACTAACAAAGGGCTGTGGGGCCCGCTAACGAACAGCCGCGAGGCACATGCAGTAAACTGACGGGAGACGGATGACGGGGAGAAAAACGGGCAACGAGCGACAGGGGGGGACGGGTGATGTTCGACGGGGGGGGGGGGGGGGGGGAACGGGCGAGGGGCATAGGCTAAGCGCGCTACGGGCAACTATCTAGGACGGGGCACGACTAGGTGGGTCCATAACTTAGTCGAGAAAATTTCCCAAGGGGGAAAATCTCGCTAGGGTAAACCAAGCTCTGTTACCATGTTACAATGTAATGAATGACTAGAAAGTGAAAATACATTAAGTATATATGACACCTAACCCTAACCCTAACAAACACAAAGTAACACCTAGGCTAGATAAAACACAACATATGTTGACAAATAGTTTTACTGTACACATTCTTAAGAGCGTCCACTTTGTAGCACCAGTGTACCACCTTGTGTGCCTTCTCAGGTGTGGACCCGTAGACAGCAAATACTCCCTAGACAGTGTGGGGATATAGAGAGGGACACATAATTGTCAGAACATTATAGCTTATACATTTGTGTAGGCTGTAGTGGGGTAGCCCATAAGGGGTACAACCCAATTAGGGTCAGTACTTGTACCCAACTGTTTGCTAGTTCATTCATTCTCGTTCGTTACTTTGATATGGAATCAGAGCAGGTTCCTTGCGCCCACCACCTGCTACGCTGCTAGTACCCTCCCTAGGTCCGTCGCCCCTAGGCCCATCGACCCTAGCCTACGCGCCCGGCCCATCGACCCTAGCCTACGCGCGCCCGGCCCGTCGACCCTAGCCTTTAGCAGCCGCACCCCCAACCCCCCCTTCCCTCTCCCCCCCCCCCCCCCCCCCACCCCCCCCCTTCCTTTTCTTGCGCATGCGCGCGTGCGTGCATGTGTGTGTGTGTGTGTGTGTGTATGTGTGGGTGTGTGTGTGTGTTTTGGTTTGGTTTGCTATCTCCTGCTGCTCTTATTGCTATTCTCTTTCCACTGCCATCTGACATTCTATTTCCACTGCAGCCCCTATCGATTGGAGTTACTTTTGGGAATTCTCAAAAGTAACACTCACATTCTCTTTCCACTGCAGCTCCTATTGATCGCTTGTCTTTTGAGGCGCCTCAAAAGTCAAAAGTAACACTCACATTCTCTTTCTACTGCAGCTCCTATTGATTGCTTGTCAGTGACAAGGGGAAGCCACGCCCATTCTCGTTCCCTCTGCTACCATTGCTGCTTGCTAACTCCCTTGAATTTACAGGCCAATAATGTCCCAAGCCATTGGCGGGGGCAGTTGTAGGCCCGTTTATGTAGTCTCTACTACCACTGTTGCATGCTAACCCCCTTCATTGAACAGGCCAGTATTGTCCCAAGTGCTAGTGGGGAAAGCACCAGGCCCATTCTCTTCTTGCACAAGGCAACGGGGACCAAGGGGAGGAGGAAGAAGCAGAAAGCTAGGATCTCATTTCCTCGCCCAACCATGTGAGCTTCAAGCAACAACAATGTACGGTAGGTTGATATACCTATGTGTGGTCAGAACTACAGTATTTTCTGGGTATAACACCCGCCGATTTAGCGATCCCCCGGGTCGTTTATGCGAGGTTAGGAATACGGTACATATTTTGGAATACCCTGAGAGGACCCCTGTTCTGGACACCCTTTCCCATCCAATCAATGTACTGGTATTTTGCATTATTCATAGTGATGTCGTGTCGGATTTTAGGTGGCGATCCTTGACGTGGTCAATGTATCAGATGCAAATTTTGGCGCGTTGACAGTGTCAGGCCGAAGTTAATCATGAAATTTGCTTGCAATGATGTTCAATACTGTGAAGAAGTATTGTGTTGAAGAAATAAATGTGTGTAACTTGTTTATGTGCCTTATTGAACAAACGACTTAGTGCTATTTTCAATGATTTATAGCGAAGTCTCCAGGTGTTCTCGGGGTTACTGTGGGCCCTGCATTCACTTGAGTCGCTAACCAGCCAACCAAACCACGACGCTAATTTCACGAACCACCCGAACAAAATACTTCCTGATGGACGGTAACAAGCTCGCCAAAATATATGCGAGACTCGTCAGCCAGTTACTTTCACCAAAAAAGCCTGTCGAAGCCTGGCCTGATCCAGATCTTACGCGCCCTAATTCGCGTCGGCAACAGAAGCCAGATTTGGGCGACTGGAAAACCTTTCCCAAGTTACAGCTTGGAACGCGTTTCTCCAAAGCAGCCAATAGAGGCTACAATTCCCGCTTCTGCTTCCCATTCCATAACACCACGACGAACCTAGCTGGTGATGCCCGCGAATGTCATGCTGCTGCTGCTGCTTCCGTGTAGTACGATTCTGCCACAACAACTACTGAACCTCATTGGCAGCAACAAACGGAGAATGCCTTGCTGGACGTTGCTGCATTGCGTCATTGGTTCGCGAAGTCCCATGGCGGATGCGATGGCGTGTCCGTTTCATGCGACCCGTCGCTTGTATCGCGCTCCTAGATTCGGATTGGCTCGTCCCTGCGACTCCTAGTATCCAATAATTGCCCGCACTATCTCACATCGCGGCTCCTAAAATAGTATGGCCCCGTGACTCGCTCGACCAACCCCAGGGTAGTAACACACATCGCGGCTATATGATTGTAGTTCTGGTCCCCGTCTCACTGGAGGCCAGCATTGCCGAATAGTATGTGCTCATCACTGCATTATATGTGCTCATCACTGCATTATATGTGCTCAGCACTGCATTATATGTGCTCATCACTGCATTATATGTGCTCATCACTGCATTATATGTGCTCAGCACTGCATTATATGTCCTCAGCACTGCATTATATGTCCTCAGCACTGCAGGCACATATTCCATTCTAGTGAAATACTGCGTGGCGGTTGCATCATCCCCCTGACAGTTCGTTACTCGACCTCGTAACTCGCTTTATCAATCACCAGCTCAGCACAGTCCTATTTCCAACTCGGAAAGAAAGCCTTTTATTTTTCTCATCCTTGTCCCCTGCCTGAACGCTGCTCGGCACCGTCACTCGCATGTGACATCGCGAATCTCCTCTCTTGCGCCTCTCTTGCGCCACTGTTGCGCCTCTCTTGCGCCACTGTTGCGCCTCTCTTGCGCCTCTGTTGCGCCTCTGTTACGCCTCTGTGGCGCCTCTTCTCTCGCCTCTCCCGCCACCACTTCTGCCGCCTCTCCCGCGGGACCCTCACCGTTATCATCATGAGCTCGATGGGTGCCTCTCCTGCCGGACTCCTGCTGCTCGCCCTTGCTCTCATCTGCGGTCAGTCTGCGTCTCTCTTGCTGCATTTTTTTTTTAACTTGTGATGGTCATCCCTTAATTTTGTGTGCTCTCAAACTCTATCTTCTCGTCTCGTCTCTTCTCTTCTGTTATCTTCTCTTCTACTTTCCACCTCTTCTATAATTTCTTCCCTGCTCTCTTCTCTGCTCTTGCGTATCTACTCTCTCTTCTCTTCCCCCCACATCCTTTCCCTTGTCCCTGCAGCAGTGCAGATGATGCAGGCAGCATATGCAGACGACACGGTGAACAGCATGGCACACAGGAGAACGCTGAAATCGGTTTATGGAGACCAAACAGAACCACCAGCGACCGCGTATGGGGATCAAACAGAACCACCAATTACCACAGGTAAGGAACGTACGAAGGGGACCGACGTGATTCTGAAGGGCCTGATTTTAAAGGGCGTGATTTTGAAGGGCGTAATTTTATTTTTCAAGTCCGTGAAACTAGGGTTTAGGGCTGGCATCGTGCCTTTTTTTCTTCTTTTTTTTGGGGGGGGCGGTTCCTCCTCCATCCTTTCACGCAGTCCTCTCTCCTCTCTGCTGCAGATCCTGCCTGTGCGGCGTTGGGCTGTGAGCCGGATGGCACCTGTGAGGTGGATCAAAATGGGGAGCGCTACTGCAAGTGGGGTGAGTGAGCATGCCGTTGCCGGGTGAAAATAGGTCACCCGCGTTACCACACATTCACACATGGTATATCAACCCTATGCCACGCCCATTCGTCTATCTATCCCCCATGCCATGCAACCTCCGCCTCATGCATTCGTGCATTTACGAGGCGCCACAGCACCTTCAACTCCATACCATCGATTTGAACCTCATGTTTCCACTGTATGAGAGTGAGTGCACAAGGCTCACGTGTAGTGAGGCTATGCTTGAGACGCCCCAAGGCGCCTCAAAAATGATTTGGAGCCTCATCTTCCTGCTGCATGCATGAGAGTGAGAGTCCATGATGTGCCCAACCTACCCACCCCCTATATCTCTCACTTGTCTGAAGTTACAACCTTCTACACGCAATCCCGCATCTCTTATTCCACTGCCTCGCTCCCCTGTTTTGCTTCTCCCTCGTTTCCCCCTTTTCCTCGGTTCCCCACTCTGCTTCGCTTCCCCCCTCTGCCTTTTTTCTCCCCACTACCTCGGTTCCCCTCTCTACCTAGGTTCCCCTCTCTACCTCGCTTCCCCTCTCTACCTAGGTTCCCCTCTCTACCTCGCTTCCCCTCTCTACCTCGCTTCCCCTCTCTACCTCGCTTCCCCTCTCTACCTCGCTTCCCCTCTCTGCCTCGCTTCCCCTCTGCCTCGCTTCCCCTCACGTACCGCACTGCACCCATCCCCACCCCTCACAGCCTCACCCTGTGGCGCCTGCCCTACTGGAGCCACCTGCAAAACTGTGCCTGCGACTAAAAACAGCTCGGTGCTGGTGCCTTACTGCGCGTGCCCTCAACGCTTTGGGATGATCGCCAGCGATTGTGTTGCGGGTGAGATTCGTTGACTCATGCTCGCTTTCCCCTCTCTACCCTCTCTTCTCCCCACTCGGCCCACTCTCCACTCTTGCCACTCGTCCCACGCTCTTCTCTCATCACTCACCCCACTCTGTGCTTCACCTTTTTTTGCTTCAGCAAGTAGGCTGAACGGCCAATGCTTTGTGGGGATGTAGCAATGCATGTTTGAATGGAGAATCTTTGCAGGTGCCAAACATAGCAACAAACATGGCGAAAAAACATTGCGCTGAGTCCTTCTCTGTGCCACTCTTTCTGAGGTGGATCTTACACCGCCACTTCCTTCAGGATGTGGCATGTGCGAGTGTGGCAATGGATGCTTGAATGGGGAATCTTTGCAAGTGCAGACAGTTGCCTACAAGACAACCATCCACTCGATCCTTTTTTGTGCCACTCTTTCTCAGGTGGAGCTTTCACCGTCACTTCCAGTAGCTATACATTCATCGCAAATGCAACAGCCAAGGACGCAACTTCCAAGCCCTACACCTTTCGCCTCAACGTGACGGGCTGCACTCCGTTCCCGGAAGGAATAACTCGGAAGTACAGAGGACTTTACAACGTTCGCAACATTGGCGATGCTCCGGGCTGCCACAACGCGAAGTTATTCTACAAGAATTACTGTGAAGGCCATTTTTTGTTGGGAAGCAATCGAACCATTCCGGGTCTTGCTGCAGGATATTCAATCTACATGTGAGTGAATACCACCTGCATATCTGCACTGCTTTTCCACCTCCTTTTATGCCCTTTCTGCTTTCCTGTTTATGTCAAAAGATAACACCTTTAGAGCGATCTTTTCCTTTTCGTCCTTCCTTGTAACCATTAACCAGGGGAAACATCGAAGTTGCCATTCCGTCAATGGAGTGCAATACAATCCAGTAGAATGACATGGATGGCTGGATTGGCCATGGTGTCATATGCATGCTTCAACTTGGATGGCTGGATTGACCATGGTGCCATCGACAAAACAAGTTCGTATGATGGACCAACGTTTTGGTTATGATGATTCTGTATGGATGAGTGCAGCCGAAATGCTGTTAGAGAGTGGAGGAATCTGGCCGAGCCACGGTAGTGCGGTTTGTCTATGAGAAATGTCGTTGTGTATGCGACAGTTACAAGCAACATCCGTTAGGGGCTGAAGCTATCAGGCTAAATAGTTTGATTAGCTTGACAAATCAGACCCATGAGCCTCTGGCCCTTGCGTTGTCATTTTAAGTGATTTCTGAACCCTGATTGATTCAGTTCTGAGTAACAGTATTTTCATCCCTGTTTTTGAGTATTGTATGTTAGACTAAACTGTTACCAAACCCCCTGACTTACCGTAATCACTCGGGCATAACACCCTAGGGTCTTATTTTGAATACGGAAAAAATAGGTTGGTCTTCTTTCTCATTGAAAAGAACTACATACCAGTAACACCCTATATGGTACATTTTCTTAAAGCATAATTGATTGGAAACAAGAACAACGGTCTGGCTTTCACTGGTAGAATGTTGTTTAGGTTCGCAAAACCGAGTATATGGAGATAGTGTAGTGTAACCCCCCCACTGGAACCTGCCACATGGCAAATTCCAATGGGCCAACTCTGGCATCTGGTAGGGTGAAATCACTGCCAGCGTCGCGCGACTAGGGTTCATGCACCTTCCGAGGTAGGCAGGAGTCACGCACAGTTCTGCCTTCTCACTGTTTTGTCCTCTTCCCTTTGCGTCGCGTCGTGGCTCCAGTGCACGAATATCGTATAAAGATAAGGACATGTCTCTCATAAGTAAAAGCAACAGAATGTTTGCATTAGGGTTGAGGAACAATACAAGTAGCAACCCTAACTGAGTTGTACTTTCTAGGGAGTATCTCATTGCAGCCTAAAGAAAGGAGTGGAACCAGCGCAAATAAACAGTGATGGGTCGGCAGAGGAAGGACAAAACCCAAGGTCACGAAGCGTGGAGCGAAGAGTGTCGTGCCACTCACGGGGCGACTGACGGAGACCGTAGACTGGTCGCCTTAGGCTCCACTGGGTCCCAGGTGGGAAGGTGTCAGTGAAGCCAGGAGGACGCCGCAGCCAGATCTCCTCGTGTAGGCGGCCCTGGAGAAACGCAATAAATAAGTCGAGGGAGTGCAGCTCGTAGTCTTGCTGTGCTGCTACGTGCAGTAACACCCGAACAGTAGTCATCTTCGGGGTCGGGGCGAAGGTCTGGAAGAAGTCACCTCCCTCACGCTGACTGAAACCCTTAGCCACGTAGCGCCCCTTGAACACAGGCGGTGAACCAGGCGACCGCTTCACCTTGAAGAGCCACATGCCATCGACAATGTTCGCCCTGGGAGGGGGAACTGCGTCGATGTAGGTGCGTGTGGATCTCCAAGACGCTAACTCTGAGTCCATTGCCGCTTTCTACTGAGAGGCCCACTCCCCTGACAGTGCCTCACGGTATGTGCGAGGAGTCGGTATGTCAAGGGCGTCGGGGTCTCCCTCAGGGGAAAGCAGCGTGGAGTAGAGTGAGGGGGAAGCGGCTGCCAAGAAATCTTGCTCAAACTGCTTGTCCTCTAGGACGTCACAGCCAAGGGCAGACTCACCCCCGACGGATAGAGGACGGGGAGGTGGAGCAGCCACCACACGCGTGGCGTAGTCAAGGCAGCGGGTGGAAGCAAAGTCAACGACATTGGCACTAAGAGCCGAGACAGGCGACGGAGAGTCACGAAGATCGATGACAAGAGTGGCGAGAACACGGGAGACAACATGGCGAGCAGCACGGTAGTAGTCAGTGATAGGGTGAGAGGAGACCGTGAGAGACGGCTCAGGAGGTGAGGGGAGAACAGACACAGGCGGAGAAGGACGAGGACTAGAACGAAACAAGACAGTGCGAAGGTCAGAAAAAGGAGACGAGGGGCGAGCACGCGGAGGACAACGACTAGTACAGTCGTGCGGGACAACTAGAGGAGACGACTGTGACCGAGGAGGAGAGAAAACAGCCGGAGCCGAGTCCGAAGGAGGAAACGTAGGACCGTACGCAATAGGAGACTGTGAGTGGACAGGAGGAGAGGAAGGAAGACCAAGGGCCCGAAGGCCACTCACTGGAGGGAACAGCTGTTGCAAAAGTGGCGGCTGCGGAGGCGGCTGCTGCTGCTGCTGCTGCTGCTGCTGCTGCTGCTGGTCCAATTGCTGCAACTCCTGCCTCTCCTGCTCCAGCCGCTCCTGCTCCTCGTGCTCAAGCCGGCGAAGAGCCTGGAGACGTGTGTCGTAGCGGTGGGGAGATGCAGTGGGCGCCGCAGTAGTCGTGCCTCTAGCTCCTGTCTCCTCAGTACTAGCTCCTATAACGCTAGCACCTCCCGCTCCACCACCCCCAAAACTAGCACCTCCAGTGCCAGCACCTCCAACTCCAGCACCCCCAGAACTAGCACCACCAGCGCCAGCACCTCCAGCTCCAACACTCCCCAGACAAGCGCCACCAGCGCCAGCACCTCCAGCTCCAGCACCCCCAGAACTAGCACCTCCAGTACCAACACCTCCAGCTCCAACACCTCTCGAACGAGCGCCAACAGACCGAGTACCTCCATTGGCAGCACCTCCAGCTCCAACACCACCTGAGTCCATAATAACCTGTCGCAGAAGTGCCGAAGGCTGCTGAGGGGATTGTGAGGAGGACTGCGGGGAGGGAGACACTACCTGGCGCGTGACCGAGGGTAGAGGGGTAGCGTGAGACATACCTGACGGGGTAGGACTAGGGGGGGGCGGGGGAACCGGAGGAGCGGGAGCAGGGGGAGGAGAGGGTGCAAGGAAAAGGGGGGGAGGGGGAACCGGGAGACCTCGACAGGGGTACCAGGTGTAGTAGGACACTGACTCGTCAAACCGGACGTCACGGGAGTCAAGGAACTGGTGGAGGTGCGGGTGGTAAAAGGCGTAGTCGGGAGAGTCCACCGGAAAACCAAGGAAGACACAGGGGATGGTTCGAGCCGAGAGCTTGTCCGCAGAGGTGTCACGGACAAGCACAAGGAAGCCCCAGACACGAAAGGCCGACCCAACACCAGGGGACACGATCCAAAGACTGGTCGGTGAAGCCTTTGGCCGCGAGACACGCGGCTAGAGGTTCAGCTGGTGGGCGGCGTAGCGAACCATGTAGGGCCACAGAAAATGGGGCGCACGGGTATGGATCATGGACGTGCGGGCGATCTCCATGACCAAGCCAATGTGGCGCTCAGGACTGTCTGATGCCCTGCTCGCCGCGGAACCCGGCAAGGACGCCAAAGCGAAACTCACCCCCACGGTCGGAGTGGAGACAACGGACACGACTACCACGAGTTCCCTTGGTGGCTAAGAGCCAATGGATCAGCGTAGAAGTCACCTCGGACTTCTTCACGAGAGGAAACACTGTGGTGTTCCTGGATTAGTCGTCGACGACCACCAGAAAGTAGCGCTCCCTCTCAGGTCCCTACGTAGGGGCAGGGCCCCAGACGTCCAAGTGGAGAGTCTGGAAGGGAGCAGTGGCTGGACACGAGTTCCCTTGGTGGCTAAGAGCCAACGGATCAGCGTAGAAGTCACCTCGGACTTCTTCACGAGAGGAAACACTGTGGTGTACCTGGAGTAGTCGTCGACGACCACCAGAAAGTAGCGCTCCCTCTCAGGTCCCTACGTAGGGGCAGGGCCCCAGACGTCCAAGTGGAGAGTCTAGAAGGGAGCAGTGGCTGGACGAAGGGAGGAGGAGTGCGGAGTGGCGTGCGGGCGGCCGGCGACGCAAGGAGTTCACGGCGGTGCAGGCGAGGGAGGGAGCGACGCGAAGACGCGAGGGAGACCCGAAACAAGACGGTGAATAGCCATGCTACGGAGGCTGGTGATGATGGGTGGCCAAGACGGTGGTGCCACAAGACGGTCGGGTGGGCGAGAGACCGACAGGAGCAAGACGCAGCATCCTGACCAGAAGCAGCAACCTGACTAGACACAGCAACCGGAGGGAACGCAGTAACCTGACCGGACTCTGCTACCTGGGAGGACATAGTGCGCATAACAAAGAGACCTGAGTGTGGCTCCCTGGTGAACATGGCAAGAAGTGCCCCAATGGAAGCGTCCGTACAGATCACCGTCCTCCCGTGCGCAGGAAAAGTGATTGTGATCCCACGGTCGTGAAGGTATCCAACACTCACCAAGTTCCGAGAGAACGAGGGGATGTAGAGACCAGTGAGGAAACCAGAAGGGACAGCCGGGCACGGGAGAGTCGTCGAACTGCGAGCGATTGCTGGTCCTGAACTAGGATCAGCCAGGGCAACAGAGACTAGAGCCGAAAGAGGTGTGACAGTGGTGTGGTCGCGGAAGAAGCACTGAGACGCGCCTGAGTCTAGCGTGAAGGAGAGCGATGCGGCAGCAGTCGTCACGGCAGGACTAGTGACTATACAAGCACCTATACTAAAAGCACAAGTACCTACACTAGCAACAGGCAAAGAGCCTAAGCTAGGTACACGCAAGCCAAGAGACCCATATGTGACAGAATAAACAGCATCCATAGACATATCAAACATAGGGTAACCACTACAAGACAGACCAGGCCAGATCGGTGGCCTCGACTCAAACCCAAAACGCTCACGGTAAAGGTCGTCGAGGCGACTGTAGTAGCGCTGTGCAGAGTGGTCAGGACGCCAGCAGGTAGTGCCAACACCAGGGCCAGTCAGGATCCGGTACTGGCAGGGGCCGACGTCGCGACCACCGCGACGAGTCCCCCAGCCGGCTGGGCCGCTGTTGCAGCCAACGCTACCTGAAACACCAGGCTTCCACGGCTGCTGAGGGCGCCACTGCTGCTAAGGGCGCCACTGCTGCTGAGGGGGCGCCACTGCTGCTGAGGGTGCCACTGCTGCTGAGGGCGCCACTGCTGCTAAGGTTCCCACTGCTGAAACTGCCGCTGCTGCTGTCCCTGCTGCTGGAGAACTCTAGTGGACGCCATGGTAAAGGCTAGCGGGGTGCAAGGGCGGCAGGCTAAGAGCGGCTGGAGCTAGGAGCGAGGAGTGAGAACATCTAGGAGCGCCAGGTGAAACTAGGCGTGGAACGGCCGGAGCTTGGAGCAAACTGAGCTAGAAGCGAGTGGAGCAGGAACGGCTGGAGTGAGACACGGCCGGAGCTAGAAATGGCAGGCTAGAAACTACGAGCTCGAGGAGCGGCTGGAGCGAGGAGCGAGAACAACTAGGAGCGCCATGTGAAACTAGGCGAGGAACGGCCGGAGCACGAAGCGAGAACAACTAGGAGCGCCAAAGATACACTAGGACTAGGAGTAGCGGCCTCTAGCCGCGGCGGAACGGTGAACCTAGTGTAGGAATGGTAGGGAATGGGAAAACCGACGGTGAGAAAGCCCGAGAACGGGCTGCTACAGGCCGTGGCGCGCTAGAGGTGCCAGCAGCTGCGAGTGGTGCCAGTGGGCAGCTAGAATGAGGTGTGGGCGGCTAGGAGGAGGTGTGGGTGGCTAGGAGAAGGTGTGGGCGGCTAGGAGGAGGTGTGGGCGGCTAGGAGGAGGTGTTGGTGGCTAGGAGGAGGTGTGGGCGGCTAGGAGGAGGTGTGGGCAGCTAGGAGAAGGTGTGGGCGGCTAGGAGGAGGTGTGGGCAGCTAGGAAGGTACGTAAGGTGCGCTTCTTGCTAGGGCACGCATGTTTGGCCAGGGGCGCGCGTTCCTGGATGGGGTGCGCGTTCCTGGGCAGAGGTGCGCGCTGCTGTGCCGGGGTGGCACGCGCTGCTCTGCTAGGGCGCGTGCTGCCCTGCACGTTGGCGCGCTCTGCCCTGCACGTTGGTGTGCTCTGCACTGCAGGGGCGCGCGTTGCTCTGCAGGGGCGCGCGCTACTCTGCTGGGTGGCGAGCGCTACTCTGCTGGGGCGTGCGCTGCTCTGAAGGGTGGCGCGCGCTGTTCTGCAGGGGCGCGCGCTTCTCTGCTGGGTGACGCGCGCCACTCTGCAGGGTCGCGCGCTGCTCTGTAGGGGCGCGTTCTGTTCTGCAGGGAGGGGCACGCCGCTTGGCTGGATGGCGCACGCTACTTAAGGGAGCTTACTACGGAGCGACTACGGAGCGACGGAGCGGCCTTAGGCTAGGCTATGTTAGGAGCGTACCTACTCGTGATACCATCTCAGAAGTAGAAGCAACGGAATGTTTTTTTTAGGGTTGAGGAACAATACAATACTGAGTTGTACTCTCTAGGAAGTACCTCACTGCAGCCTAGAACAATTATATGCATTTTGACAATGTCCCCTCACTCCCGATCCTGCGATCGATTCTATTTTGTGCAGGATCGAAAATTTCCAGCTTTCAAAAAGGTTTCGGTCGTTTTGAATGTAGCAAGTAGTGTTTGAGTGCAGTGTAGGATTGGCTTTCCACAATTGCAGGATTAAAGGGGAGGGGACACGTCCTAAGAGAAATTAGCACTTTTGCCGCACACAACACCCTCCCACACCCCCCCCCCCCTCCCCCCCCCCCCCCCCTCTCCCCGCCCCTCCCCCCCCTTTTTGGGTCTTACAGATAACCAGCCTAAAAGGGGGGGTATAATATAAACGAGGTCAACTATAGCACCCACCCCACACAAGCCACCCAGGGGGTCTTCAATTTCGGCTAGTGTTTTGTACGGATGTGGTAACATAGTATTGATTCCATGCCCTCAGATTCACCTTTAGGGACATTGATGCACCAGGGTCCTTGTGAAAAAAAGGCTGATTTTTCATTGTTCCTTTAAAAAAAGCCTGAATTTCCAGGGTTCACTAGACATGTTATCTTTCAATTGAGACACTTCCAGCTATCAGATCTTAGGAAGGATTCCGAATGTGCATTCAGTGTACACTTCGATAAAATGCTGAAAAAGCGGTGTTAGCTGTGAAATGAAGGCTGAAAAAACAGTGTCACTAAAATAATAAGTCTGAAAAATTAGTGTAGGTACATGTTACGAGTGCAATTGAGCGAGCAAGCGAGAATTGCATTATCGAAGCAAAACAGTACATCGAGCGAAGAAATGAGCGAGAACTATATAGCGAAGGCCACTATGGTAACGCTAACAAACTGTGGGAGATGCGCGACGGGCCTGTGACTATGGTTGGGACTGAGGTCGGGAATTGTTGAAGCGGAGGCCCGGAGCACGGGTTACCAGCCAAGTTGTGAGGTTGGGTTGCGACAGGCGAGGTGGCGGGAAAGTGGTCGAGGCGAGTGTCGCGAGTGGTAACTGTCAGAATGTCATATTTGTCTAGCCTGCAGTGGGGTACTCAATAGTGAGTACAGCCCAATCTAGGGTTTCCTATATGTACTCAACTGCTTGCTAGTGCAATCATTCTCTTCCTTTTTCATTCCTCAATTCTTTCACATGGTATAGAGCTGGTTCCCTACTGGGACTGTTCCTTCCTAAGGGCCCACCGTTAAAAGTTTTTTTTCACCAACCTGCCCGAAGCGCCCTTCGCGCTCGGCCTGCCCTACCCTTTCGCGGCCCCTTAGCGGCCTGCCCTGCCCCTTTGCGGCCCCGTCACTGCCCCGTCGCGGCCCTGCCCCGTCGCCTGTCGCGGTCCTGTCGCGGCCCCGTCGCGACCCCGTTGCGGCCCCGCCCCGGCCCTGCCCCGTAGCCTGTCGCGGCCCCGTCACGGCCCCGCTCCGGCCCTGCCCCGTCGCGCCCCCCCCCCCTTGCGGCCCCTTAACGGCCCCGTCGTGGCCCCCCGTCGCGGCCCCCCGTCGCGGCCTCCCGTCGCGGCCCCCCGTCGCGGGCCCCTCGTCTCGGCCCTGCCCCGTCGCCCGGCACGCCCCTGTCCCGGACCTGTCGCGGCCCTGCCCCGACCCTGTTGCGGCCCTGTCGCGGCCCTGCCCCGGCCATGCCCCGACCCTGCCCCGGCCCCGCCCCCCTCATGCCTGTCGCGGCGCACCGGGGGCCCGCGCACCGCCCCCCCCCCCTTTCCCGTCGCCTTTCATGGCGACCTGGAGGGGGGCCGCGCGACGGGAGGGGCGACCTGGGGGGCCGCGCGTCGCCCCTTCTTCCGCCTGTTCTGGCGCCCTGGAAGGCCGCGCGTCGGCCCCCGTAATCCCCCCCCCCCCCCCCCCGTACCCTCCCTACCCGCCATCCCGCCCTGCCCTGTGTTAGGGTTTGGGGGTGGCGAGTAGGGGGTGGCGGGTGTGTGGACTCCCCTGCTCCTCCTCCTCCTCTGTCTCCCACTGCTGCAGCTGCCGCTGAGGGGGGTGGATGTGTGGGAGCCAAAGGGGTGGTGCTAGGAGGTGGGGTGTGAGTGAACCTAGGGTGCAGCAAGGGGTGTGTGAAAGGGGGGTGGGATAGTTTGGGGAGGTTGAAGGGGGTGGCCGCCGTGAAGCCCGCAGCTCCAGTCGCCCGTGAGCCCGTTGCGCCAGTCGCCCGTGAGCCCGTTGCGCCAGTCGCCCATGAGCCAGTTGCTCCAGTCGCCCGTGAGTCCGTTGCTCTTGCCGCTCAGAGTTAGCCGCGGAGCCAGTTACTCTAGTAGCCCGTGTGCCAGTTGCTCCAGTTGCCAGTGTGCCAGTTGCTCCAGTTGCCCGTGTGCCAGTTGCTCCAGTTGCACCGTGTGCCAGCAGCTTCAGCTGCCGCCCACTACCTCCTCTCCTCTCATAGTCCCTCCTCCTCCACACTTGCCCTCTGCGATAGCCTCTAGCTTTGCTTACATTTGTGAACTTTAAACTGTTACTTCTTGTACTTGTGCTCAGAATGTGTGGTGACATTGTGATCCACCCTGAGCTTGCTTTGCTTTGCTTCTTGTGCTGATTACACCCCACTTTGGCTATGGGGGTGTGTCAGAATGTCATATTTGTCTAGCCTGCAGTGGGGTACTCAATAGTGAGTACAGCCCAATCTAGGGTTTCCTATATGTACTCAACTGCTTGCTAGTGCAATCATTCTCTTCCTTTTTCATTCCTCAATTATTTCACAGTAACGGTGCACAGTGTGGCGAGAATAGTAATGTACGCGCTAAGCAGGGATGCGGCGTAAGGAAAAGGGAATTTCCTTACACTACCCCCCCCCCCAACCCCCTTAAGGAGGCCCTCCTTATGAGAGTGCGTGTATATCCTGGAAATTACGGTTACGCAGATAGTCAGTGAGAACGAGGTGGTTTTCAATTCTATCCAGGGGTACCCAGTTGTCTTCAGTCGGCGTGCGGTCTTTCCAGCGAATCAGGAATTCGATCTTGCGAGCTCCTCGTGGATCACGAACTCGGTGGCTTAGGATTTTCTCAGGTGTGATGATTGGCTCGGAGGGTGGTCGTATCATGCTCGCTGGGCGGTTGCAGGGTAGTTGGCTTGTGGATGGTATGTATGGGCGAAGCAGGCTGACGTGGAAAGACGGGCTGATGTACCAGTCAGCAGGGAGGAGGAGATGGGCGGTGACGGGGGTGATCATGTGGCTGATGCGAAATGGCCCGCAATATCGAGGGCAGAGTTTTGGGGTGATGGGCAGGAGGAGGTTTTGAGTGTCGAGCAGAACGAGGTCGCCGTGCTGGTAAGTGACGGGACGGCAGTGGCGGTCGGCGTTGCGCTTACCGATGACATTTTTTTTTTAATGCGTCTGCTGCCCGGGTCTGTGCTGCCTATAAGATTTCTGCAAACTGTTGCGCGCGTGGCACTGGGTTGTTGGGATTCGGGGTCATGGGTACTGTGGGGTCTTGTCCGTAGTTCAAGTAGAAGGGTGACTATTGGGTCGTGGCGGATGGCGAATTGTTGTATGCGAATTCGATGAGTGGCAGCTGCTGTTCCCACGTGGTTAGGTTGTCGCACATGGCTCGGATTAACTGCTCCATGGTCTGGTTTGTCCGTTCTGTCTGTCCGTCGGTTTCGGGGTGATACGATGAACTAAACTGTAGTCGCGTGCCGAACTGCTGCCACAGGTTTTGCCAGAAATTGCTTGTGAATTTCGTGTCGCGGTCGCTGATGATTGCTGCTGGTATTCCGTGCAGTCGAACGACGGTGGCGATGAAGAGCCGAGCTGTTTCTTCGGCAAAGATTGATTTCTTGCATGCTACGAAATGTGCCATTTTCGTCATGCGATCGACGACGACCAGGATCGTGTCGTTCCCACTTACCCCGGCCGGTAACCCCGTGACGAAGTCCATCGTCACCTGCTGCCAAGCACGCTCTGGGGGTGGTATCGGCTGCAACTGTCCTACCGGCCGCATCCGTGATGACTTCATGAGTTGGCAGGTGGGACACGATGCCACGTGTTGTTGCATGTCGGTCAACAGTTCGGGCCAGTAATAATACCGCTGCAGCTGCTGTCGTGTTTTTTCTACTCCGAAGCGACCTGAGGTAACGCTGTCGTGTGCCTCCAGTAGTAATAGATCCCTTACAAAAATGTAGCCTGGTACCCAGATGCGATCGGTGCCGGCTTTTACGTAATAAACCCCTTTTGCTGCTGCAAACTGCTGTGAGTTGCCTCCTGTAAAGAACGGGTTTGTCTGGTAGCCGTGGGTAAATAGTCCTATCAGTAGCGGGCTGGTCTGGGCGAGTAGTATAGTGTGTATCTGGGCAGTGGGGCGGGTCAGTGCGTCGGCGATGTTCGATGCCCCTTTTTTGTAGGTGACCATGTAATGATAATTGGACCCGAGAAAGTTGAGCCAACGAACCTGTCGTGGGTTGAGGTGGGGTTGTGCGCGAAGATACTGTAGTGATTTGTGGTCTGACCGTACTGTCACGTCTGCGCCAATCAAGTAACAGAGCCGAACCTTGAATGCGTGCACGATCGCGAGCATTTCGCAGTCGTGTATCGGGTACTTTTTCTCGGGCGGATGCAGCTTTCGTGACTCGTATGCGATGGGCTGAAGGCCGTTGCCAAAGTCTTGTAACAGTACGGCTCCGATGGCGATGTCGCTTGCGTCAGTAACGACTTCAAACGGGTGGTGGGGGTCGGCTATGCGCAGTACGGGCGGTGTGCGAAGAACATTTTTTAGGGCAGAGAAGGCAGCATGCTCTTTCTCCCCCCACGTAAACGCCACTCCCTTCTGCATTAAATCTGTCACTGGGGCCGTTAAGCGCGCTATGTCGGGGACGTACCGACGGACGTGATTAACAAACCCAAAAAGACTCTGCAGCTCCGTGAGATTTGTCGGGGGGCGCCATGCCTTTACCGTGTCTAACTTCTTCGGGTCAATCTCGACTCCAGCCTCTGAAATAACATGCCCTAAAAACTCTAGCCGGTCCTGAAAAAACTCACACTTCGAACCCTTGGTCAGTAGGCGGTTTTCGTCTAAAATCTTAAAGAATACTTCTAAATATGTTAAATACTGCTCCTTGTCGTGGCTGTAAACCAGGATGTCGTCGAGGTAAACTATGACGCATTTATCTAAAAAGGGTCTAAACGCCTCGTTCATGGTCATCTGAAAAGTCGTCGGTGCGTTGGTCAGTCCGAAGGGCATGACTGTATATTCGAAGGATCCGTACCTAGTGCGAAAAGCTGTCTTGGCGCAGTCTGACCGTTCGACTCTAATCTGATGGTAGCCTCCCCGTAAGTCAATCTTCGAGAACACGCGGACTGTTCGCAGT